GGGGCCCGGCGGTCGGGGTCTGGGGGGGTGGCGGAGGCGGAGGCCTGCGCTTGTGTCCCGGCCCGCTGGCGTTTGCTTGCCCTCAGGAAGCGTCCGTGCCGTGTGACCTTTTTGGCGAGCGCCTGGGGACACGGCTGGTGCCCGTCACCCTTAAACCTGAATTTATTTTGCGCGGAAAAGCGGCCCCGTTGATCCCCGTGCGTCCTTTCTCGGGGCCCTGCCTGCGCCTGCTGCCCAAAGCTGTGCCTGGGTGACAGCTTCGCAGCCCCGTGTCACCCCCTGTCTTGAGGGGTGTTTGTAATCATAACCAAAAAAAAAAAAGCAACAGCAGATCCTGTGGGGTTTTGATGGCTTAGATGCTGGCACATCAAATAAAACCAGGATTATTTTGTCTACGAAGAAAAAAATAATCCTTTCTTGACGCTGTTGAGTGGCGCGAGCAGTGTCTAAGTTCAGATCGTTCTGTCATCTCTGCCGCTCTCTTTTTGATCTTGTGATTTGCTTCTCTGTCATCTTGTTGGACTGTTCTTCCTGCTGTATTTACAGTGCACAAAAAAGTTGCTGTCTAGTACTGGTGCAAACTTCCTTCCTTATCAAAGTCTAATTCCATGTACTGTGTACCACAATACATATATGTTGCTGTAGTTTAGTCTCTATTACAGCATCCTATATATTCCACTATACGTTTATGTTGTGTTTATCTTTGGATTTACTATAAACAAACTTTGCAGATTACCTGAAGCTGCCTGGCTTCTGCTAGAGCTACTGAGAGGCAGCTAGACTGGTTAAAGAGATATTTAAGTCAGGGATGGGAGCTACTACTCTTCTTGCTGTAGCTTTCTGTATTCCCTGCCGTAATCTGTGAGCTTTATTTTTCTCTTTAGCCACTGTCAGACCAAAAAATGAAGTAGAACAGAAGCAGCTATGTGCTTTTGGGGAGTACGTGGCTGAGATTCTGCCCAAGTATATCCAGCAAGTACAGGTAGGTGCTGTTCAAGAAATTGTTCTTGTAGGGGGGACAAGACCCAGTGAACACACTACTTGTTTGTTAGCTGTTTTCAGAAGTTGTTCTGGGGATGAAAGATTGCTAGAGTTACATGAAAGTTACTGCTGTTATTAAGCTCCTTTATCTGATGTCGTTGCGCGTCTGCTGTACTATATACTCTCTTTGCTTGGGTGTTCCACTGGATTCAGTGTAATGTTCAGTCCTGTTGGTGTTTGTGCTCATGCCGTTTCCACTGTTTTCATTAGGTGACCTGTTTCAATGAGCTGGAGCTTTTGATCCATCCAGATGGGATCATTCCAGTTCTGACCTTCCTTCGAGATCACACTAATGCCCAGTTCAAATCCTTGGCTGACTTGACTGCTGTTGATGTCCCATCTCGGCAGTACCGCTTTGAGGTAAGAACTGCTCATAGGTGCAGGACTTGGAGATTTTCACAAGTGCTGGTGGCTGCAGGTGCTGTTGCTGCTCTGACCACGTGTTTTGCTTTCTGACAGCGAAAAGAAAATCCACTCTGAAATGCTGGGTTTTGTTTAATCTGTTGATCGTGGAAACGGTAGCAGAACTGATACTGCGTGGGTTCTTAGTCTGGCTTTCCTTTTGTGCTTTGCTGAAAGTCTTTTGTTGTTGGTTTTTTTTTTGTTTGATTGATTTGTTTTGTTTTCATTTAACCAAAATGTCTATAGACTTTCTGGCCAGATGTGAATTGGTGCTCTTCCTTCTTCCACTTAGGCCTGTTAGCTGCTGTTGACACAACTGATGATGTTTTTCTTTAAAACCCATCAATTTTCATAACAATTTTCCTCTTTTAAAACAAAACAAACTATTTAGTTGTTTTAAAAACATTCCGTGAAAGTTAGGGAGATGAGACAGATTTTCAGAAAGCTCTCAGATTTCGGTCACTGAACTTCCACTGGCTTTCAGTGAATATTGAAGATTGGGTTCCCACAGATGCTTTTGAGTATCTCACCGTATAGCTTTTCAGCTGCAGAAAAATTGCAGCTGCAAATAAGAAAAGAAAAGATACATCTTTGGAGAAAACAGAGACTCAGGGTATTGTCTTCATACCTGCTATTAGAAAGCCTTGTTCACAGTATTACTGCAAAGATGTTACTGTAGTTTAACTTAGGAAGATCTGTAAAAGACAGTGGCAGAAAACACCTAGGGCTCACATGCTGTAGGAGGCTGGCTATGGTTTAGGCAGCTCTATGGATGAAGAGATGTCTGTCTTCCCTTGTCTAATCTGGGCAGAGTGTCTTTTGGGCAAGAGAAGTGAATTGGTAAATTTTTAGTTCCCAGCAAATAACCAGGATAGTGAAAAGCAGCTGGTTTATTTTCCCCCTTTGGTTTATCTTGTGGCATTAAATAGCTTACCAACAGCTGCTCATAAAGCGAGGGGTGGCAGGTTTGCCTTATCTATATTAGCTAATCAGATGTCTGTAGTTTTCAAATATAGCTCCTTCTTGCTTTGCTAATAACAGCTTTGACTTAGTAATGTAACTCGTAAGTAGGCAAAAATCCCGAGAGTTGTAGAGCGAGTTTCATTAATTCAAAGGCCTCCAGTCTCTGAAGAAGTTGGAGATTTTTTAATTCAAGACTTTTCTTTCAAAAATCTACATTCATAGAAATAGTAGAAGTATAGACCTTAATGAATTCACCTTTTCCAGCCATCTTCACAGAGGCAGTATCAAACAAGGCTACACAATTTCTTACAAAGGTTCGGGTTTGGTTTTTTTCAGTCTGCTTGCAGTAAGTATTCGCCTTCCCCTGAGGTTCTAGTAATCCTCATAAGCAGCCTTTTTATTAGTACATATCACCATAAAAGTTAGAAATTTTCTCTGGTATCCAGCTACTTTGCTGAAAATTAAGTGTATTTCTTCTTAGCTTTCTCCCACTGGATGCTGAGAGTAACAGCCATTTTCTTTGTGACAGACTGTTAGAAGACTATTGTCAAGTGTTGCCATCCCTTCAGTATTCTGTTTTAAGATTTAGTATCCCTCTTCACTTCAGCTCTTCTTCATCAGTCACGTTTTCTAAATCTCACACCATTTTTGTTACACTTCTAAGGACCAAATCGATAAGCTATTGGAACCTCAGTTGTAGTAGTGTCGTTTAGTGCTCAGCTCTGAAGTGCTGAATGTGATTCTGCTGATAAAAATATTTGAAATAGTCTTTGTGTGGCTTTGCTTAGCCACTACTGTAATGCAAAGAGATCCATAAACACCGTACAAGACCAATGCCTTCTTTTATTTGGCTGTAGATTGTGTACAATCTCCTGTCTCTGCGGTTCAACAGTCGGATCCGTGTGAAGACATACACCGATGAGCTGACACCTGTTGACTCAGCAGTGCCTGTGCACAAGGCAGCAAACTGGTATGAAAGAGAGGTGAGTGCCAATGTACTTGGGAGCAGAGACTTTGTGGAGAGGGGCTGTGTTTTCCTGATTAAACTTACCTCTAGGGCCCTGAGGAAGAAAGAGAGAAGTGTTTCCCTAGCTGCCTTTTCAGAGTAGGAGTTAAAAGGGTGTTTGATTTGCTTTTGAATGAGTTCCTGCATCAGTTTTGCTGGCACTGCACAAAGCCAGGCATGTAACTGAAATTCTATGGACATAATAGAACACCTTAATGTGTTTTTTTCCTAGTCTCATTTAACTTACTTGGCTCCCTTTCATTTAGGTTTGGGACATGTATGGTGTTTTCTTTGCCAACCACCCTGATCTAAGGCGAATCCTCACAGACTATGGGTTTGAGGGTCATCCTTTCCGGAAGGACTTTCCACTCTCTGGTTATGTGGAGGTAGGAGATAATGCTCATGTCTAAAGTTTTCTAATCTCTCCAATACTCTTATCTGAGTTTCGGTACAGAGATGTGACTGCTTTACGATCCTTTGTCCAAAAGGCACTACGGATGTTTCACTTGTCTGTGTTCCAGAGGAGTTGTATAGATCTCCTGCATGAAAATTTGAAGTCATCACAAAGTGTCATCTGTAATAAGGCAGCCTAAGGCCAGAGACATTGGGCAATTTTAATGTGCTGTATACCAAAGACATTTGTCAGGCAGAGAAAGTGCTCCAGCTTTTAGCGTGTCTTCTGGAAGAGTAAACTTTCCACTGCAAAACTGGACATTCCCAGAGGAGTAAAGGACTGAACTGATCTTAATGCAGTTGGAACTCTGCTTTGTTGAGTTTTTTGTAGGCTCAGATTATAAAACTCTGGTTGAACTGACTCTTGCCATTAATCAAATATTTACCTCTGTATGTCAAACCGCAAGTTGAATGAGTGTGCTTGGTATCTGTTGAGTTTCAAATGACCACCTTACAGAAGCAGTCATATTTGGTGCAGTTTTAAGACTGAGTTGAGTCTCGGGAGAAAACAGTGAGGTTCTGCAAGCAACAGAGGGTTTTAAGAAAAATAGAAATAACAGCAAATCCCGCAAGTGAGACCAGGCAGCATCTCCTGAGCTGCGGTTTGGAGATCTGGACTGGCACAGTGAGGATAAAGGAAACCAATCAGAAGTGTCTGGTACTCACCTGCATTTCACCCTGGTTGTCTTTTTGTCCCATGTTCTGAGTGTTATGCTAAGAAGCACAACTAAAACCAAACAAACTGCCATATTATAAAGATTCATGAGAGCAGTCCCCAGCTGTGCCGGGTGGATGGGCCACCTTATTTCAGTGACTCAGGAGAAATTCCTTTGTCATAGGACAAACTAAATGTGTTGTTTCATGTGGACTGTCGGCTGGGCACTGCTAATTCAGGGTGGTTAGTCAGGACACCTGTGGTATGTGGTAGCGAAGACCAGGGTTTCCCTGGAGAGTCCAGAGATTGTGGTGGCATCTGCAGGGCTCTTGTTTAATAATGAGGAGAACTGAAGCTGTGGCAGAGGCCAGTGGCCTGTCCGTGGCATAAGAAGTAGGATTGCCTGTACCAGAGGGTGGTCTGGGTCATTACTGTGTACAGCTAGTAGCAGAGATGCTATGGGGACTGTATGAAAATAACTGGCCTGTGTCCTTTGCACTGTTCTAGGTGCGGTATGATGATGAAGTGAAACGGGTAGTGGCAGAACCTGTGGAGCTATCTCAGGAATTTCGCAAGTTTGATCTGAATAGTCCTTGGGAGGCATTTCCTGCCTATCGTGCAGCTCCAGAACCCCTGAAAATAGAAGCAGGAGCCAAGAAAGAAGATGCAAAATAGCAGCAGAATGGAGCGGATGCACAGCACCATCCTTTCTGTTCTAACATAGTATTTATAATAATAAAAATTGATACGAGATTCTTGCCTGTTGTGGTCACATGAATAATGTTGTTTTCAAACCCAATGAAAAGCAGAGGGTGAGGGATGCTAATTTACAATCCTGATAATCCCACTGATAGATGTTTATCTGCTGCTTGGAGTTCTGAGATGCTTGATTTGCCTTTTTGGTTTGCAAATTGAATTGAGTCCAGGCATTCCTTGTGGCTATGATTCTTTATATACACTGCTTCTGCTAGCTGTCCCCGCAGGCATAAATCATAACCTGAGCACTCACTGGGAGACTGTACTGAAGCAGCTGTGTAGCTTAAGCAATGGGACAGCAGCGTTTCAGCTCCAAGATGGATGTTGGGAAGACAGTAATAATATAGCAAACAGGCAAAGCCTTTGTAAATGGTTCTAATACAGTCGTTATTAGGACAACACAAGATGTACCTGGATGCAGACCAAAACGATTGTGGAAATCTCTGCACTGTTTCCTTGGGAATTAGGTCAGTTCCTGTTCTCCTGGCGGAAGAAGGAGTTGCAGGTAACCTCTCATGTGCCACTCCCTCATGTTGTGTTTTTCTTCACAATCAAGCAGTGTGCTTTCTCCACCATCTTCTGACTGTGCTTTTTCCTGCAGTCAAAAATATCTCCCTTCCCTTGCCCCATAGACAAAGAGTCTATGCCTTTTTGTCACTATTCCAATTATTTTGAGCTGTGTGATATAATAGCATTACCACGGTCTTTGCTCTTGTGGAAAATCTCAGCTCTCTCCAAAAGCCTGGAAAAATACTGTAGTTTCAGTCCACTCACCACCTGTTTAAATGGGATTACATTACAGCAATCATCAATTAACATCCCTTGTCCAGAAAATGCATCACACAGTTCTGCATCAGAAAGCTGACCGACCTCAATAAGATCTGAAAACTATTGTATAAGAGACTTCATAAAATAATTCAAAAGCTGTTTAAACTTCTGAATTGTAAAAGCACTAATTCAAAAAAGGATTTGGGGGAGTTTAGAGTATGGGATGGAGGAAGGGATAGGACAATAATAAATTCAATTAAGAAAAAAAAAGGGACAAGTACTGATCGTAGCTAGAATGTGATCTGTTTTAAAGAAAAAAGAGCTGAACTTTATGGTAAGAATCAGGTTTCGTGTTTGTGTTTCTACTTCGGCCTTGTAAACACGGACTTCTTAAATTCTTTTCTCTTTTTTTTTTAATTTGTTTCAGGCTGCTGTGGCTGGTAGTGTTTAGGATGTGACTCAGAACAGTGTTCTCTAGTTAAAATTAATAGCATTTGCCCCTCACCTTAAAAGTTATGGTTCTTTATGGGAAAGAGGAAAGAGAAGGGAACACAAAGCATCAGAAGTTTGGGGTTTTGTACAATTCTTGGCTCCACTTTGGATCTGCCATCAGTTGAGTTGATTAAATAGGAAATGTGCTTTTTGTCCTTCCTACAACATGTTCCACAGCTGTTTCTGTTTTCTGTTGCAGTGGCTCTTTTTGCATGCTGATGCCTATTGCACAAGACAGAAAAGTTCCTGGCACCACTTCTGTTGCTGTAAAAGTTCTTTATAAGGCACATTTCCCCCCTACATTGTCCCTCCTCCATCCCAGGTTGCTTGAGGCACCATGCCAAGACTCATGGTTTATGTATTGTAAAAAATAGGTATTTCCCAGTATGATAAGTCAGAAAACTGATGGTAGCAGGAAGAGAAGGAAAACGGCCATTTAAACATAACGTTCATGCAGGAGAATTTGATTGACATAACATCAAGAAATGTTAGATGCAATGCCCTGTCAAGTTAGACAACATGCAAGGTTTGCTGAAGAATGTGGAAAAGTAGCCAGCCCTGTGGGCACAGGCATTGGCTCCAGCAGGTCTTTAATACGTGGAATAGTTGCTAATGGACCCAAATTTCTCTTCTCATTAGAGAAGGCTGGAAGGTAATGAAGAGTGCAATTTATTCACCCAGCTGCGTTATCCCAGTGCACAAGAGGTCACAGAGCCTCACAAAGTACTGCCAGTGTTGGCACACTACCTCCTCCATGGCTCCTGAGCTTGAGGGGCTGTTCTTGCCCATGGATCCTCCTCGCTCTGGGTTCCTTGTGGCTGGTGGGCATTTGCTTCATGCTGGGCAAGGCTGTGGTCAGCTTGGTTAAGCACAAAGCCGTCTTCCAAATCCTCTGTCCGTGCCTGGTCCACACTGCCAGCCTCCACGAGGCTTGTTTGCCTGGGTTGGATTTCCCAACTGTAGGAGGATGTTGGATGAGATGTAAGTCAGATATAGCTGACTTACAGACGCACTGTTCAGAAGAGAGATTTTCTGCTACTGTGGGGACAAATAGACTTTAGGCGATGACTCACAGTCACCATGTTGAGCTTCCCCAGCTGAGTAGGTTTTGCTGGTATTTTCCAGAACTCTGGCATTTCTTCCTTCAGCCGAGCAAGAAAACTCTCCTCCTTGAGGATGTGGCTATTGATGGTGTCAGAGTATCAGCCCTCATCACGCCCACACAGTCTGTATAGGTCCTTAGAATTGATCTCCTGCCAAAATCCAGATGGGGATTTCAGCTGGGCCTTGCACTCCTGCAGAACAGAGGCTTTTGGACTAGGGAAGGTCAGGCTGGATGACAACATGCCCCATATCACCCATCACACTGCATCCCATGACATCATCTCCAAGTTGTGTGAGGCCTGAGGGGGGCTCCTTTTGTGCAGTAGGCGCAGTGGGATGGGGCCCTCCCTGTCACTGTCACACAGCCCATTGCTCCTTCAAGCAGTGGATGCTGCTCACAAACTGAAAGAAAAAGACATGGAAAACATTTGCATAAGGACCAGCAGCACCATACCTGGAAAATACCAGTCTAACAGTGGAGGTCCCGTCTGGTTACAATCAGTGCTTCACTTCTACTTCGCTCAAGGTTTTCTTCCTTCTTCTCTAGTGACTCAAACCTCACCTTCCCTGGGAATTGTGTATGTCCTTCTTCCTTCCCCCTTTTCCTCAACCTTCCTCTTCTCCTCACCTTCCTCCCCTGAGCACCTGCCAGACAGACCCATGCTGGGGACTGTTGAAGCAAGATACTTCTCCAATTCCATAAGCAGAATTTCCCTTTCGTGAAGATGCTGCTTATCTCCCTGCAGTCCCATCTCAAAGACATCTCCCTCCCGAAAGAGGTCTTTCTGGTGCTGTATGAACTACACCTTGTGCCTCAACCAGCATCCAATCAGCTCCTGAAGTTTTTGATCCTTCGTATCTTTCCCATCTTCCTGCTTCAGGCGGTCACGGTGGAAAGGATGAAAACAGCCAATGTGCCCCTGCAGAAACCTGGCTTGACGTGATGTTTTGAAACTGCTCCTACAACAGACGGTTGTGACCAGGGGGAGTGCAGAGGGGCATGGTTGTGCACACTCAGCTGTGAATACCTGGCAAGGACAAAATGCCTCAGGAGGAGCAGGTGCACCGCCGAACATTGCACTCGTACATGTGGGGACTACGGGCAGCTGTCAGAAACTCAGGCTTGTTTCTGTGCACCACATAGTTACTAATCCTTTACAAACAACTAAGGCATATGTTTATCACTCTGCAACTGCTTTTCTGTGCGGGATAGTGAGGCAATTCTACAAAATCCCCCCAGCTCAAGGCAGCATCTACCACTGATGCTTGTCCCCCGCCTGCCACTGTATCAGTCACTGAAGTGCACCCTCTGAGCCTCCTCTCTTCTCCCTCCCACCAACATGGGTATCCTGCTCTAGGCACTTCAGCTGCAAGCTGTTCCTAGGAAATTTTCTTGTTGACAAAATCATATATGGTCTTCGCAAATGTTGGCCAAAATCCTGGACTCCTGCTTGTGTCACACGCTGCATGCTAAAGCGAGGCTGTTTCACAGCCCACGAGACGCAGGGTTGGGTTTTTTTGCATACTGACTTCCAGACAAAGTCACGTGTACACTGTGGATTGTAAGGGACTCTGGCACAAAACAGAAGGCACATCAGTCTGACTGCACAGATGGGTCATCAGCGGCTGCCTCTTGAACAGCATGTGATTCACAGTTTAATAAAAGTATCTCATCCCAGAAGAAAGGAATGCGGCTAAAGCATAAGCAGCAGAAAATAATGAAAACTGGAAGAAGCGTAGCCTGGCTTGAAGATAGCCAAGGCTATGACAGAAACACAGGTCTTTTTTTGACCCAAACGGAGAGTAAGAATGGCTCTGGATATGGAGGGCCCCTCCTCCCGTGAGAAATCTGGGACTCTGACATTACCTGGTGCTTTTCTTCATAGCTGGTGTGAGTCTGCATATTGCCAGGTACAGCTACATGTTCTTCAAGTTTCACAAGATGTGCTACTTTGCACACTGACAACTTACTAACTGGAACATCATCCCTACCCTCAGTAAACTGTCTGGTGACAGTAGTCACCACAAACTGACACCCTGTAACTTGCGGAGAAAAGTATGCATTTCAGCTCCACTTTCTCTCTTCTCTAGACAGACTTCTTTCCCCCTTTAACATGAGGGAGATGGTATTATTACTTATTTATACATATTATTGCACATTTGTATAACCCTGGCATCCCAGAACCTGTTGGGAGAACCCAGGACGGTACTGTGCCATACAGAGCAGAAATAGAGAACAGCTTGACTGGGGATTAGGCACTCATAAAAGTGCAAAGGTGTGTAGAGAACAGATATTTGCTGCAAAGGGAATCAGATGAAGTTTCACCTATGTAATTCACAACATCTAAGGCAGACTGTGCTCATCATAACCCAGAAGCCTTGCCACAGGAGAGGACGATGAGGTGCTAAAGCCTGGCTGGCTTTGGTCTCTGCTGTTTGCTAGGTCTGTATATTGAGTTCTCCCTACAGGAGTTTTGGTGGAGAGCTGAACAAATGGCATTTCTTCTGCCTGCTTGTCTATTTCGGCTGCTACTGCCCTTCCCTGAATCTGCACAGACTGCCGGCCTTATCCCTTTGTGACATTTCAGGGTTGTTTGTACATTTTCGAACTCAGGAAAAAGAAAAACTGGAAATGAGGCCAAGTAGCTGAGCGGAAGTGTCATGGAGATGTGACAGAGGCACTGTGAGGAGGAAGAAGGGACCAGGAGGTACTTCCTTCTTCAGAGGCAATCATGTGTAGTGAAATTTCTTGCTACTAATAGCTTCCTATAATAAATTGCAGTGGGAAACCAGTCTTTGGAAAAGAAGCGTAAACATTTCTGCCAAAAACTTCACAACAAAATCTTCCAAGTTTCCAAAATATGACGGAAAATATCCTTCGGGGTCAGCAAGTTGAACTGCAAGCCCTTCCCAGGACTGCAACTAGGAACGCAGAACAGTGGATCCGTTCCAACAGAGGCTGCTGGGACCAGAAGCGGCGAGGGAAGGCGCCACAGGGAACGGCTCTCTTTTCACGCTCGGCACTGTCCACGGAGGGGGTGGCAGCGACTGTTGGGCAGGGCTGCCATGGCCCAGGTGCCGTTCAACGCCTGGCTGATCCTCTGCGTGTTCGCTGGGTCCCAGAGGCTGACAGGTAGGGAGTGCACCTGCTAGCGATGCGGCTTCTTTGGCTTGGCAAGCGTTCGTGCAACGCCAGTGGCACGACACTTTGCCTTCTGCTTCGGCCAGCTGTGCTGCCACGGGAGAGAGCGCGGTGGCAGGAGCCCCAGCTGGGGGTTGCTCAGTGGGGGAGACACTTGTACCTCCTTGCAGGACAAAGACCTGCTACTATGTTTGGTGGCAGGGGGAGGGTTTTCTTGGGTCTCCACTGAAAAAGTCTGCTCCTGTAACGGTGTTTGTGGATTTTCTAGATGATGCTTTTTTTTTTGGAAAAAACCCTGACTGTTGAATGATAAAGTAAATAAGGGACTGTTTTCCTATCTCCAAAGAACACTTACATTATTATTTCAATACGTTATTCGTTATGCGTTGTTTAATTTTTGTTTTACTCTGCTCAAAAGTCTAACGCTGCCTATATTTACAAGACAGTTACCAGTAACAGCAGTTTGGCGGCTATTCAACAAATTCACTGACTTTGCAGCCAATCAGATGTCTCTCAGTAGAGGGATCTGTGGTCTTAGCAGGTCAGCTGGCAGCGAGAAGCCCAGCAAACAAATTTTCGGTTGATGTAGTATCTTCACCTGAGCTAAAAGCCTTGCTGGCACACCCATGGAGGGGTAGGAAAGAGCAGCTCCATCCCGGCTCACATTCCAAAGCCACAGCTGGCTTGGATCAGGGAGCCTGCAGCTGTGCAGAGAAACAAACCTCCGCAGCCTGGGGGGTGGCAGTGCACTTCTTCAGGCAGCTCGTACATCTCCCTGAAAAGCTTTAATCACGAATGGAAACTTGGAAGCGAGGTTTGGTAGTAGTCATCGCACACACACAGCATTAAATCATTTTTCTGCTTTTTATAAGCACCTGCTGACCTTAACTCTGAGGTACTGAACACAAATTCTCCCTCTTTTTTGTATAAAAAAGCCTTCATCCATGTAAAAAGGAACAAAAAAAAAATGTGTCAGAGAGCTTGCTGTTGTATTCAAGCTTTTTCTGTCTCATCTTTCCTGATCTGAAGGATGAGTCTGCAAGCAGTAGAAGAGGGTCTTGGCTACAGGACTATGCTGATCAACACAGAGAAGGGAGGAGCTGCAGCCTCCCTCTCACAGTCTTGGACTAAGGCTAGTTGTGTCTCCTTTTTTTCACAAAGAAAGAAATAATAAAGGCAAAACGAATGCAGAAAGTTAAAGCATTAGAAGTAGCAAATGAAAACTGAAGATTTTTTTTTAGGATTAATGTGACTCTCGTATTAACAAGCTCCCTTCCTCTGCCCTTGTACCCATTTTTCCCAGTTTAAATGATGATGGGTCGCTCAGCAAGGAATTAGCTGGACATGACAAGAGCCATAATGAATATGACCAGGTTTCTTTTACCCTCACGCTCCGCCCCTGCCAGCAGCAGGTGCTCAGGGAAGAAGTATAAAACCAGGATAAGCATCAGGTTATGTTTCCACCAGCAGTTTGAGGAGCCTCCCCAGCACCCTCAACCTGTTGGGAAGCATCACTTTCTCCTAGCAAAAACTGCCAAGCAATCAAAACCCATCAGTTCACAACGCACCTAGCGAGAGGGGCTTCCTTGCTGCCTGCCAAAGCAGGTGCCTTTGCTACTTTACCCTTTAGCTCTCTTGGCAGGATTAAGGGCCATCATACTGAAAACTTGCACTTGCCTCCCTTGACCACTTCTGCTTCTCTTGAAAAGCCTGTTTTCCTCATCAAAATCCCGTGGTTAGCATCTGTCATGTTTGGCAAGCGATGAGTGGCAGCTCAGAAATATTGAAGACATTATTGACAGACAACCAAATGACAAAAAAAACCAGGAAGGGCTGTGGTCTTGTGCTATCAAACTCTTTCTGATGTCTTCCAGATGAACACCCTCACAGCAGGGATGGTGCCGGTGCCAACGCACCCCGTCGCAGCCCAGAGGACGCCGACGTCATGTTAGAGGTCTCCTGGGAGTTGGGGGCCTGTGGGCCGAGGCACTGTTAGCGCCTGCGCTCCCACCTGCATGCACGTAAAAACTCACACATTCTGCTTGTTCTCATCCCTCCCAGATTTCGGGAGCGCCTGGAAAATGCCTCGGCGATGCCCTAGTTGCATTTGTGCTCCCTCCCCTTGCAGGGTGCAGCTGAAGGGGGCTCTGACCCCCTCCATGGCACCTCACAGCTCTGGGGTGGGACAAGGGACATCCCCCCACCTAGGGCTGCTGCGCCGGGAGCTGCTGCAGGCAGGACTGTGGCGGGAGAGGTGGGGGGGAGGCAAGAGCTGGACGGGTCCCATGGGGAAACTGAGGCGTGGGGCTGGTCATAAAAGGGGTGTGGGACTGGTGGAGAAGGACATGGAGAGGGAGTAGGCGGGCCGTGGGCAGCGAGTCAGGGAGCGTCCGCCTCTCGGTCCGGCCTGAGCAAGATTTGGCAGCGTTGCAGGTGGCTTCACAGCTCAATTATAACCAGCGGAGGGTTTGTGCTGGGCTTCCCGTGCGCATGCTGCTCTTCTCTTCCAGATGCTCTGGGGAGGGCTGGATATTCAGGCCAACAGGACAATCCGGCTGCAGGATGAAGAGCTGGCCTCCCTGCGCCCGACACGGCGGTTCATGCAGATTTTAGAGGATGAAGTTCCCAAAACACCAACAGAGATTGAGCAGCATCTGAGATATTATTCACTGACTGATACCGCCTTGCCTCTAACAGAGTTTGACCGTCTCCTTTTCACCAGTGTTTACTGTGCCTATCAGGTTCGCTCCACACAGGGTCTGGATAAAAATCTCTGGATTAGTTTTTTCTCTCAGCTAGTCGATGAAATCTTTCGTGACCTTTGCAAGGGGCTCTGCCCTGCAAACACCACCCTTCTCCTGGCTTCCTGGCCCTGGAAGGAGAAGCCTTCCCATTTAGCATCCCTGAAACATTTCTATCGTTCTAATCTGGGCAGGACAAAGAGAGACACTTAATAAGGGAAACTACTGTAGGAAAGGACACACCTGACTTCAGCAGCAGCCTTGGTTATTTTGCATGCTTTCCACATTATTCAGGACTTTGTACAAATACACCCTGCTTTTTGTCCTGCTTTCTGCATTGCGCTGACAACCCTCTAAGGATTTATACACAGGCTTTTATTTTTAAATTAAACAGGACAAAAATATAAAGTGCTTTTCACCCTTTTTTGTGTTTTGGTTCTTTTTTTCCTCTGTTTGTTTTTTGTTTTTCAAGTGGGCTGTGCTGAAGGGGGCAGTGCTATGTAGATGTGTTATGTCTCTTGATCACTGATGCTTGCTGGGGAGATGCCCTGGCAGTTTTTTCCCAGGATATTACACTGGTGCCCTAGCTGACTTCATTTCAGATAATTCAGTTCGGCCTCCTTGTATTCCCGCTGTGGTTTCAACCAAATACAGTATTTTTTCTCCTCTCCAGTAACCAGCTAAGCAGATTTTGTTGTGTTTGATGATATAGGTCACATATTTAATTTCAGCTTTCTGCTCATGTGGCATCACATTTTATGTGTCCATAGCAGTTTCCCATCTCATGTATTCATTTTTCTTTAAAAAGCAACCTGACAATATATGTATTCCATGAAGCTTTTTAGTATTTGTATATCGTATTTACACATGTAAACTGCTTTGTGTCAGTTATCAGTTTGGAATATACTTCCTTATATCTCATTTAAATTCCTGAGGATTGTGACCTAGTTATTTCTTCAGCATATTTTACCTCTTCTATGAAGTTCTTTGTACAGCTATGGCACTTTACAAGCCAAACATAATAAATACACAATGTCTACCCTCAAAATCAGAAATACAATTATTTTATAGAAAGAGGTCATTAACCTTTCTCTGTCTTACACATTGCAGTGTGGAATTAAATAAATGTAATTATCTACTCTGGAGGGTTTTGATTTTTTTTTTTTTTTATTTCTACTAGGTTTCCCACTGCTATTATAGGTACATTAATTTTGAACATTCATTGCATGTGCTTAGATGATGGGATCCATAATTCCCTTTCTATCAACATACTCTTAATTTTCCATGCTCAACCAAGGAGGCATGTGTGACATTCAAAGTGGGAACTGCTAGCTTTTGACCTAGTTAATCTTTTTCCAAGCTGTTGTTGCCCAACAGATGGAGAAATGGTGAGGCAGGAATAAGTAGCCTGGAAGCAAGATGCCACAGAGAATGGTTTTAGAGGTCAGGTTAGGGCTGTGACAGGAGAAGATAGATTAACACAGTTCATAAAGCAGGTTGTTTGTTGCTTAGTTTTTTTTGTGTTTGTTTGTTCACGTTTGTTTTTCCCAAAGGATGTGGGAGCTAAGATTAGCATTTTATCTGAAGTATAACTTCTAGTAAACTAGTGTTCCACTTAACGTTCTTCTATACTTTTGCTGTTTTTTTCCACACCTCCAATCTCTACCCTTCATCTTTTTCCCAAATATGCCCCCAGTCTTTAATGTCTAGGATATGTATGGAGTGACGGAGGCAGGGAGTGGCTGCAGACAAGTCCAGTTTGAGCAGAGAACGTCATCAAAAAGCCGAGCTGGGATAGTGCTAGTGCATGAAAATATTGTCTTGCTGGAGAATACACAGTCTGAGCTATATGAATGTCTGGATAAAGGTTGACGGGGTGGGCTTGGTGACTCAGGTGCAAATACACTGTTTTGAATGAGGATTTTGTTAGGATCAGTTTAAGAGCATTGCTCTCTGTTAAGATGATATAAATTAAACTCAAGTGATGTCACAAAGTTTTGTGCATGCTCAAGATGATGCACTTTTGCAGTTTGTGTATTTTGGGAGACAAAGCAGGGTTTAGCTCGACTGAAAGAGCACCAATTGCACTACGATGAAGCCTCCAGCCTTCGGCTTTCCTACCACCCTCCCGAGTGGATTCTGCTGTCAGTCCCTATGCCCCTGGAGGAACACACCAGAGCCCTCTACAGCCACATCAGTCTCTCTACAGCAGCGCTACGGTTTGGCAGAACACAGCATGTGAGAAACCACTGGAACACGCATGCTGAAAATATCACTTAATGGTACCTCTGCTCCTGTTTGCACTAGGTTACTGATACAGCAAATGGCAGGTTAGTGGTGCCCTTGTATTCAAGGAGCTCATCTCTGGAGAATGTAATGCCCTTGCAGGGAACGCTGCCATTGCACAGCATGATACTACTCACACTTATACATTATGAGCCTGCTTCCGGCCCAAATATTGAGAGATTTAAAAAGGCATTTTTTATTCTTCTTGCGTACCTTGCTTCTGAGCTTTCAGAGGATGGTCCATTTGTATATTTGAGCCCTCGTCCTTTACTACAAGGTGCTAGAAGCCTACCTTTTTGTTTCTTTCTAAATGCATTATTTTCATTAAATGGAAGCTGAGATTCTCAAACACAGCTTCTTGACTTCATCACCAGCAGATTAAGAAAAGTGCCAAATATTGTGAAACTTGGAATAAAATCATAAGAGGTACCAACACTTCACACACACAAATGATAAAAAAGAGTGTACACAGACAAATTGGCTCAGTAACACATACTGCAGCTCATACAATCACCATGCTTCTTTCTCTCCTGAACTGGTACCTCAGCCAGTGACAAGAACACAAGTCTCACAAATAACAACAAATTCCAATCTGAGAAAATTTTACATCTTTTGTATTTTTATTACATTCATTTTCATTACATTTATTCCCTCCCCAGATCTGCAAGGCAAGTCACCACATCCTTTGCTTTCTGGGTGCTGGGAATCTGCAGAACTATTATTGCAGTGTTTCTCTGATTCTCAGCATCTCACTACACTGCCCCACCCCTGCCCCAAAACTACGTCATGCTTTATGCTTAAATCAAACACCAACACAGGACACACACATACAACCTGCAAAGACCTTTCTATGGATGAATGGCAGACACAGCAGTGGCCCTGCAGACAGGGCAAAAGCGTGCAGCAGAAGGAAAGCACTGGACACATGATAGCATGCCTAAAGTAGAAGATGACATTCGAAGAGGAGCTATATCCAAGTTCATGGCACCTTGGCTTTTCTTATGCTCCTTTCACACCTGCATTTAATTATTTGACCCTTGGGGTGAGCTGGCACCCAGAAGCTGCTTCGGCTGAGCCTCTGCATAGATCAGGAAGCCTGTGAAGGTGATGTACTTGCCATGGTTGCTGTAGGCACCATAGCCATCGTGCTGATGGCTGTAGAGCCAAACAGTGTCCCCATATTGCAGAGGCAGCATGATACTCTGGCTCTGCATCTCTCGCCTCTTGGAGTGGTTGTCATCATAGATCATGGCCTGCACCTCATTGTGGTTCTTCATAAGTTTCACTGACATAGTTTTAAAGGGCATTTTGCCAATGGTGAAGGAGAAATAGTATGCACCGGGTATACGGCATGAGAAGATGCCAGTGGAGGAATTGAAATCTTTTCCAATGTTCACAAACTCTGTGTCAAACGTGATTGGCTCATGCTGGGTTTGCTTGTCATCTGTCCCCAGGAGACTTTGCGAGCGGGCAACAGAAAATGCAGAGCGAGGGTCTTGCTCCCTGTTTGGTTGATCAGATAACACATGTCGCTGTGAAGCTTCATTCTGCTCTCCAGGAAATTGCTGAATAGTGTGATGGTGTGGCCCCAGCTCTTGAGAGCTGAGAGCATTCTGGAAGAAGGCAGAAGTGTCTGGATAGATTAGGTAGCCATTGAAAGTTGTATAGGGGCCCACATTGCTGTAAAGAGCATACTTGGGATCTCCATGTAAACGCAGCCAAACCGTGTCACCGTAGTCAAGCTGCAGCATGGCACTCTGGCTGGCTACCTTCCGTTCCTTGCGGTGATGTTCATCATACACAATCACTTGTACCTCATTCTTGTTTCTCATCAGCATGACAGACAAGTTTTTCTTTGGGTATTTCCCAACAGTGAAGGAGAAGTAGTAGGCTCCAGGGATCCGACAGCGGAACAATCCAGTCTTGGGATCAAAGTCATTGCCAATGTTCACATACACTTTGTCAAAGGTAATGACCATCTCAGAGCTCCCTTCCATGCTGCTGGTTCTGGCCACAGAGAAAGCAGAGCGAAATTCAGTACTGGTGTCAGCTGGGAAGCCATCTGCAGGCAAAAAAATCATGCAGCAAAGGAAGCCAAACAGGATCTGAACCTTCCGTGTCATCATTGTATCTGAAAGGAAAAAGAAGCATATTTTAGCAGGAATACCATTAATTTCCACCTCATACTCCAGTTGAAACTGAGACCTGAATCTTGCTAAGTATACATGAAGGTCTATGTCCAAATATTGAGAAGTTTCTAGTGCATTCTCTGACCAGCGTACGGGACTACACCTCAGTTCAGATCCCAGCACCATTTTGATGTTTTCCTAGCAAGAGCTGGACCTTTTTTTGCCTGTACTTGTAGGAAGAAAAAGAATCTTCTCCTTCAAAAGCCTGGCTATCCTAAAGCTTGTCTGCAAAACACTGTATTGCTCACAATGCAGATGGATCTCAGAGTTTGCTGGGGCTTTGCCAGAGCTCCCTTTTGTAGTGCCTTTATTCATAAGACCAAAGATGAAACAAAGCCTTACGCAGACCCTGTATTATACAGTTGAGATACAGCTGAAGGGCAGGGAGAAGAGGACATACGCTCTAGAGATTCCCATGCAGATGACATTCCCTAGCACTGCACTAGCTGTTTCACAGGATGTGGAAGCTGGAAGCCAAGTAAGTTGGTAGACCCCATTATACAGACAAACTTCACCATGAATCTGTGAAGACTGTAAAGAAACTAGAAGAAGAGGCAATGTTTAGGGAAGGAAGGAAAGCAATGGAGAAAATGAATTAAATGAAAAAAGAAGGAAAACAAAAGATAAATAAAAGGCAAGTCTCCCAAAGTACAGAATCCCCGAGAGAGAACTGAAATACCAAAACCAGAGGAACAACTCCCTGTTCAGATAATAGACCACAGAGGAAAACTTCTTTGA